TTGGACTGTGTGTGGCTCGGATTGTGTGTTGTGAATACCTGCTTGTACGAGCCGTTCCTGAGAGTATGTTTGGCACAAGAGCAGATTATTGAGGATTCCACAGTATTTAGTGTGTCATACAGACCCTGAAACAAATATATCGAAGAAAACCCATGCAAGTCTAGAATATGTGGCAAGTCTAGATTTCCACAGTTTCTCAAGGCTCCTTTTCAATACATTTTATTTGTTTGACTATGAACTGTGTTTTCTGTAAAATATGTTCATTTCAGAGACTAGTTGTTGGTCTGGGCAGTAATGGCATCGATGGCACGCTTATGTTATCAACCATTCGTTTTCATTCCATTCTTTCTGACTCATTTTCAACATATCAGTAAAATAGGTGAACTGATTGCATTATTCATTCAACAACGTCTACTCTGTCTGCTACTACAGCTTCTACTACAGCTTCTACTACAGTTCATCCGAATACAAAAGAGTTCAAGGGTATCTTGTAGCCGCAAAGCAAAGCGTCTCTTGAGATATTTTAGTCGCACGCACTGAGATAATCTCGAGCCAGGGTGAAATGTAACACCACACATATTCATGCACTCTGTCCCAGTTGTGTCTGAACGACAACACTTCATGTCGGGGACTCGACAAAGCAGGCGACTCTATTTGACCACAGCACCTCTTCCATTCACGCGGCACGTCCACTCGGGAAGCTAGTACGGCGACGTTATGTGGACGACCTTTCCATATTTACTAACGCTTGGTGAAAGGTCACAGAGGTCATGTGGCTGGCGATGCGGGGGCGTCTCGCAGTAGGATGTGCCCCTTGCAGTTTGCTGCGTGAATTCTGTGCCATCTACGATGTGAAAGTTCAAATGAAAATATTTTGGCCAGCGATCTTGAATCAATGGTCGATTGTGCTGTCTGATAATTGAAAATACGAATTGGTTTAAGTGTTACGGTTTGAACTTTGTGCACTGATTGTGTAATCTAATCTTTGATCTTCTGTCGACTCAGGAGTAGGTTAAGCTAGTAGGGTCTTGGTGACATTGGTTCACTGCGACTGTTACGACCTTTTCCCTGTGCGGGTTGTAGGTCCAACGTCGTGGATGTCGCTGATGGAAGTAGGATCGGGCATGGTGGTGGAAGGGTGGGGCAAGCTGTTGTTTGCTGATTGGAGAGTGGGGCAAGTATGATTGGGCTCCGAGAGTGCTGGGGTGAGGGGCAAACGTTGGTACGTAATAGGAGGGTGGGGCAAGTGTTGCTTGGTGGTATGAGGGGCATGGCTGTGTTGAGTCGAAGCAGGGTGGGGCAAAGTTGGAGGGCAGGACAAGGTTTTGATGGTGGTAGGGAAGGTGGGATCTGGTGGCAAGAGCATATATTGTATTACGGCGAGATGTTACGCGGCAGTTGGAGGGGTGGGGGTGTCAACGTGTTGCTTGCTGGTATGATGGCGTGCATGTCTTGGTAGAGTCGTATCAGGGCGTGGCACGGCGGTGCTTGTGGGGTGGTGGAAGGGCAAGCTGTTGCGTAGTGGTAGTGAGGATGGGTAAAGGTGTGGTCTGGAGCCAAGAGCATGTTATATGGAGGTACTTGGCGGTAGGAGGGTGGGGCAAGGTGTTGCCGGGTGTTAAGAGGATGGGCCATTTCTTTGCAGGTAGGGCTGGATGTCGGTTCTAACATGGAAACAGTAAACATTGATCCTTATTATGATTCATCACGGACCTTACCCACAGGTATCATCACATACACAGATTCCGCGATATGTTTGTAAACTTACTGCGGAAGCGACGGACTAGCAGTAATACGAGAAAAGCCCTTGATCATCAATTTTCATAAAGGTGTACTTAGCACCCAGGTGCTAAAGGTCCGCGGAGTAAGCTTAACCGGCGATCTAGATCAGTCGGAGATGAAGGAATGGTTCTCACGCCAACATCACATTGACGCGCCTCCGAAATAGGTTTCATAAGAAAAAGGTTCGACTAGATATTGCTTTAGGGAGGAAACCAAATCCGTCCGCGCTGTATCTGAATGTGTCCCTTCATATCAGTCACAGATTGTTAGGTTTCATTTCGGTTAAGGGTCGTTTAACCTCTCCGTCGTCATTCTGAAACCCGAACAAAATACTTATTGTCAGAACAAATTTCTGGGGTTTTTATGGCGAAATGATCCAGTTTTACGTGCGTGCGTGAGTGAGGTTTCTGTGTGCGTGCGTGTGTGTCGTGTGTGTCAGTTTGTGTGAGTGAATGCGTGCGTACACCAGTGCAATGGCGGTTCTACATACACGACACACACATCATGCTCACTCTGAGGCGACCAATCCATCCTCTATCCAGGAGGATCGAACCCGAACCTCCCGCTGTCCGGGCTGACGCTTTACCCGCTAGACCACAGAGTCGGTCGCCCTGCATCAGGCGTACACGCACTGATATGACGGCAGTACACAGGAGTGGCCTTATAACTCCCTCACTAACTCAGTGATATCCGGAACTAATAATTTGGACGTTTCATAAAATTTAGCCAATGGGCACGAAAGGCTGCGATATACCTATAAAACATAGAGGAGCATAGATAGCTGTGAATGTTGATGCATAATGAATTAGCTTGGAGACGCGAGTGAAAGTAAGAAAACGAAAATTTCTCTCAACAGGCATGCGGCATTATAATCATGTGTTTAAATCACATTATGAATCACTTTTATCACTGGAAAAGGGCCGAACATTCACATACTGTACGCAGCTATTTCCCTTTACACAAAACGGAAAAATTTTTTCTTAGGACGGCCAGGGTACTCTTTAACATTGACGTTCTATATTGACATACATATTTTACTGTTATAGTGTTAACAATGAAGGTGATTATGATCTTGGAAATTGCTCTGAAGAATTTGTGTAATTTTGAGACATATTTGCTCCATGTGTTGAGATTGGAACGCAATTCATTCGCTCCTTATTCACCTGAAGTTTGGGAACATATAATTAAATTACCATGGATTGATCCATCTCTTAAACCTTCTGAGCTGTGCAAATAATTACTTTCTACCAAGCGGCCGGAGGTACAGGCCTGTCTTAACATAACTCCAGCCTCTAGTCCACTTCAAGCCCTTAGAATCTTTTCAGCAATTTTCCTAGCTCTAATATCACCTCGTCGCTCTATTTCCCTTGGTACAACCTTGCTGACTGTACTAATCGATAAAAGGAAATTACATTCGGGAGAAAAGAACACGGGCCCGACCCAATTTGTGCCCTGCGAGAGGTCGTCTAAAGAATTGGCTGGTGCACCCTGATCATGTCTCCGCATGCGCTCACACCAACTGAATTTTAGATATCGTAAATAATATATTATATCCGTTTGTTATCGGGGAGTTCATTATTTCCCATCTTATTGCGGATGTTAAAAATGTATTATCATGCGTGCGGAAATTCTATTATTTCTTGGAGTGTAACTATTTATTCTTTCAACAAATAAACGCGTGGTCTTGGCCAAAGGTCACATTTCATTTGCTGGCTTCCTTGATCTGGCGCACGGGGAAGTAGACACGTGGTTATAGCTTCGCCCTCAGCAACAAAAATCCGTTCGATTCCCGAAATGAAATTGTCTCGTGAAGCGTAATATTATTCTCCCTGTCGTCATAGCAACGGACTATTGCGTAGATATATCTTAAACCCACTGAACGTGTGTTAAATGCCATATTTTTTAAGCTTCTATTCTTTCACGAAATTATTATCTTATTCTTTCGAGAGAATAAGCAAAATGTATTTTAAATCTCGCAAATGGTTGATAATTCCTCTTTTTTATGCAATTTTGAAATGTTTGAAAAGTTGTTTTTATAGCTTCAATTATGACTGTTGAGTAGCGACATTTGTTGCCGATTTCACGTCGACTGGGGAGTTAAGGAAGATTTATGTCACAGTTTTGTCACGGAAATAGACAGTATGTCAAATTCACATCACGTTAACGACACGTGGACGAGATAATAATTTCACCTGAGTTATATATCACTCCCCACAGACACAGCCAGGAGTATTTCTTCGCGGAAATTAACATAAACATTGACCCGTTTTTATATTGCTTTTTTCACTTTTTGATTCGTACTGTGAAATCTGTTTCAGCAGATATTTCTTCTTATGGCTTTGTCGCTTTAACATTTATGTAATTTCTGCTGCTAATATATTCTCTGCACGTGCAAATCCAGTTCTCAAAGGTAATTGTCCGCAACGTATTTGGGGCAAGTCACGTGACCCCATTTGGAAACCGTAACATGTGTAGGAGGGGAAGAAAGAGGGAGATGGACGGCAACTGAGTGTAAAAAGCGCATACATTTAAACCCAAGTTTACACAAGTTCCAATACGTTTTTAAGATTCGTAGATTATTGTCCCTGTAGCTTTATCTTAGAAACTAGTAATTAGACCTATTTCATGGGGTTGATCTAGTTTCTTCCGATACGATTCCGAAAATCTTCTGTTGTACGCCCTACGAATATTACTGCAGCTGATATATGTGCAATCCAATCCGAATGTTGTATTTCAACTAACCGACTGTATACACTATTCTAGGTTCGGTGGGGTATCCTAATGGTTAAAGCGTTGGCTCGTCACGCCGAAGACCCGGGTTCGAATCCCCACATGGGCACAATGTGTGAAGCCCATTTCTGGTGTCCCCCGCCGTGATGTTGCTGGAATATTGCTAAAAGCGACGTAAAACCAAACTCAGTCAGTCAGTATACACTGTTCTTGTGCAGTTCATATGTACCACAGATTGCCGGGATCATGTATACACTGTTGTATATTTCATTTATAACCAATGTTGTATATTTCAGCTATAGACCATGTTGTATATTTCTTGTATAAACTATGTTGTACATTTCAAATATACACCATGTTGTACATTTCATGTATAGACCAGGTTGTACACGTCATGTATACCCTAAGTTTTATGTGACCAGTTCAGCAGTTGTACATGTCACCCTCAACACTCTCTGTTCTCACTGTGATGTCCCTGTATGTTTCAGTCTGCAAGACGTGTATAGTCCGGTACCTGGAAACCAGCAACTATTGCCCCATCTGTGAAGTCCTCATCCACAAGACTCGACCATGGCAGAATATAAGGTGAACAAGGGTGGTATAGTGGTGAAAGTGTTCCCTCGTCACGTCTCAGACCCTGGGGACCGAGCCACAAAGCGATCGTAGCGCAACATCATTCGTAATCCTATGATAAACTGTATAGTTACGATAGGTCGTAACGCTACGAACGCTTTGTGGATGGGGACCCTGGGCCCTTATTCTCGAAACGTTCGTAGCCCTATGAATTCTTAACTTTGATCGTAGCCAATGTGTTGAGAATGGGCTTAAGAGGTTCGTAGGGCTACGAACGTTTCGAGAATAGCTAGCCTGGTTCGTATGTGAACTGTTAAGTCCGTTATATCGGTCTCTGAAGCCGTGATCACCCTGGATGGAATATTACTACAATCGGAGTAACATTATACCCACTAAGTATGCGGCGTACATCTTTATCACACACAGGATGTTTTAGAAATCGGCTTATGTGCTGTTCACTACATCTGCTAAACGAAACATGTTTAATTATATGTGTGGCCCGAATATTGCATAATGCTGTATCTTTAGACAAACGGTATTACACAAGAAAGCCCAATGTCTTCTATTTAGTCACCTCGTCTTATACGCCCAAGACCTCTTCCACAAACACCATATCCCGAACAGTGAGTGAGTGAGTTGGGTTCAACTCTGCATCGAGTTGTAGATTCACTTTGTGGGAATACAAACTGCTGCTGCTGTAACACACTTATACAGTGAGGGGGCGGTGGGGTAGCCTAGTGGTTAAAGCGTTCGCTCGTCACGCCGAAGACCCGGTTCGATTCCCCACATGGGCACAATGTGTGGATCTCATTTCTGGTGTCCCTCGCTGTGATATCGCTGGAATATTGCTAAAAGCGGCGTAAAGCCATAATCACTCGCTTATATAGTGGGGAAGCGATTTGGGTTCAGTGATGGGCAGAGCAGTATATTTATCAATAATGGCATGTCATCAGGCGAGAGTGTTGTTGATATTACATGTCCTGTGCCTGGTGTGACAGTGAGAGCAGATTTATTCCTCACTTACCACAACGTGTACACATGTTGGGCTTTATCCAGAAACGCAACCTCATTGTCGGATAAAACATGTTATCAGTGTAACACTTTATAGTGAGTGAGGGCTTTTGTCGCTGCAGTTATGAAATGACGACCACGGCGATCGATGAATAATCGGTTCTGATTTCTTTCTTTCTTTCTTTTATTTTATATGTTTTTACTACTTTCACTCTTTCGTTCTTTCTTTATTTATACATGTGTAAATTATTTTTTCTAAAAAAACTGGAAACTTCTTCTTGTACAAAACGTGTGCCGAATGTATAAAATGACATGTTTATTTCAGATATGATGAAACGCTACAGAATATAGTATATAAAATGGTGCCAGGACTGTTTAAAAGTAAGTATATGTGTCAGAATATATGCGCTACGTAAACTGTCATACGTAAACCATCAATATCTGAACACTGTGATATATACAACACTAATCTCTGAACACTGTGATATATACAACACTAAGCCTGAACACTGTGATGTATACAACACTAATCCCTGAACACTGTGATATATACAACACTAAGCCCGGAACACTGTGATATATACAACACTAATCCCTGAACACTGATGTATACAACGCTAATGCCTGAAGACTGTTATATATACAACACTAATCCCTGAACACTGTGATATATACAACACTAATGTCTGAACACTGTGATGTATACAACACTAATCCCTGAACACTGTGATATATACAACACTAATGTCTGAACACTGTGATGTATACAACACTAATCCCTGAACACTGTGATGTATACAACACTGATCCTGAACACTGTGATGTATACAACACTGATCCCGGAACACTGTGATGTATACAACACTAATCCCGAACACTGTGATGTATACAACACTAATCCCAGAACACTGTGATATATACAACACTAATCCCTGAACACTGTGACGTATACAACACTAATCCCTGAACACTGTGATATATACAACACTAATCCCTGAACACTGTGATATATACAACACTAATGTCTGAACACTGTGATCTATTTAACACTAATCCCTGAACACTGTGATCTATATAACACTAATCCCTGAACACTGTGATCTATATAACACTAATCCCTGAACACTGTGATATATACAACACTAATCCCTGAACACTGTGATATATACAACACTAATGTCTGAACACTGTGAGGTATACAACACTAATGTCGGAACACTGTGATATATACAACACTAATCCCTGAACACTGTGATATATACAACACTAATGTCTGAACACTGTGAGGTATACAACACTAATGTCGGAACACTGTGATATATACAACACTAATCCCTGAACACTGTGATCTATACAACACTAATCCCTGAACACTGTGATCTATACAACACTTATCTCTGAAAACTGTGATCTATACAACACTAATGTCGGAACACGGTGATATATACAACACTAATCTCTGTACACTGTGATATATACAACACTAATCTCTGAACATTATATACATACTCTAAATATATGTTATCTCTAAACGATGTGATATAAGACCAGTAACGCCAGTAATCCCCGAACATGGTGATATACACATCCCGTATCACCGATACGTCAAATATCACCCACACAAACTCCCCTCCATCAGGGAATGAAATATACATCTTGCTACACTGGTACATATATACTCATAGAGTGTGATTGATTGCCATTGACATATTAACTCGTGTACATTTCAGATGAAATGAAAAGGCGGCGAGAGTTCTACGAACAAACCCCGTGCTATGGTAGGGATTGTTTATTTCTCTATCTTTATTGACTTCTTTTGAAATACACGCCTTTCGATAATAAGTACACTTCTCGTTTGTCACAGACGGCTCGGCCCCTGGTAATACTACACTATGGATTTATATCAAGATATCTGTTTTTCTCATCCTAGTTGCTATAACTTGTGGTTCTTTGAAGAAATAATTTCGTTTCTATGGTGATTGTATCAAGACGCTCGGCAATTAATTATTCCAAATTGACACGTTGGTGACAGTTAACGCGATTATACATTGCAGGAAGTGAAATGTAGTTCCTATTATCGGTGATGCCCAGCCAGTGATGTACGCCCTGTATTAAACACCTCACACTGGGCATGCGCAGTGAAATGAAATTGTAATAAATCTACCAGTGTGGAAATACTCATTGCAGCCCACCTTCAAAATATTTATATTTGGTCAAAAAAATTAAGTATAAATAACTGTATAAAAAGATGACATGTTTATAAAGAAACCATCCGTTTTTAGACTTAATTCCTGGAACAGCTTTGGATAAACGTGGCGCATTCTGCATAAAGCGAATAAACCTGAGCTGACATTTTGTCGATTTCAAATTCTTTAATCGGATTTCATGGACGTTTCTGTGGGCGTGGGTTATTTGGCAATGATTTAGACCAGTTAGTTGTCGTAGTAATTCGCTTTGAGTTACGTCCCTTAGACGTACCAGAAACTGGTGATCGTGGGACCGTGTGCAAGAATACCCCGGTAATGTGTCTCGGTTTGTCAGTACCTTAACCACGCTTGTGTGTTTTTTCCACGGTGATTTTTTTTCCAAAATGACTGCATGACTTGGGGGTTTCCTCCAGCATCAAGATGACATGTGGTATTACCAGAATTCTGTTCAAATACCGTCCACTCTCTGTGTTCAATACCGTTCACTCTCTGTGTTCAATACCGTTCACTCTCTGTGTTCAATACCGTTCACTCTCTGTGTTCAATACCGTTCAGTCTCTGTGTTCAATACCGTTCACTCTCTGTGTTCAATACCGTTCACTCTCTGTGTTCAATACCGTTCAGTCTCTGTGTTCAATACCGTTCAGTCTCTGTACTCAATACCGTTCAGTCTCTGTACTCAATACCGTCCACTCTCTGTGTTCAATACCGTTCACTCTCTGTGTTCAATACCGTTCACTCTCTGTGTTCAAATACCGTTCAGTCTCTGTGTTCAACGGTTCACTCTCTGTGTTCAATGCTGTTCACTCTCTGATTGTGGGCAAATGCCGATTTCATATGTCGTTCCTTTCTCGTCAGAAGCCCGGAAACGCGAAGGGAAAGAACTGGATTTCAAAACCACAGACCGAGTGATTCATTCTCCTGACGAACAAATCAGCTTGTCACTCGAACACTGCAGCCAGTAAGTTTGTTTCACAATATATAAACCTTGTTCTATATTTGAGGTGAATCAGTTTCGGTTTCGAAAATCTTTTCGAAATCTCACCACATGTGTATTCAAGGGGAAGGCCTTGTTCGTTGGTTGGATTGTTGTATAACGCCGCACTCAGCAATATTCCAGCTATATGGTGACGGTCTGTAAATAATCGAGTCTGGATCAGACAATCCAGTAATCAACAGCATGAGCATCGATCTACGCAATTGGGATACGGTGACATGTGTCAACCAAATCAGCGAGCCTGACACCCGATCCCGTTAGTCGCCTCTTACGACAAGCATGGTTTCTGAAGACCAATTATGTTTTCTTGTGTTGGTGCTCATGCCGTCGGTCTCTAGTTTGCCGGAAGTCTTTAATGTATTAATATATGGGTTACCGGTGTATAAATGAAATATTGCCGACTCTATAATACAACATCCCCGCACCTTCGAATAGCCCATATCTGTATTTTTAAGGAAGCGTTAGACATTTATGATCACTAAACGTGACATTGCATCGATGCTCATGATATCAGTCACTGGATTGTCTGGTCCAGACTCGATTAATTACAGACCGCCGTCTTATAGCTGGAATAGTGCTGAGTGCGGCTTTAAACAACAGACAGTCACTAATTTGCTTGGACACATAGGGACTGTCACGCTACTTTCATTTCATTTCTTTTTTTGTCGTAAGAGGCTTACTGGACCGAGTGTTCAGCCTCGCTAACTTGGTTCATGTCATTGAATCCCAATCGCGCAGATCGATGTTCATGAAGTCAATCACAGGACTGGTTGGTTCAAACTTGATTATTTTACAGACTGACGTCATATAGCTGGGGCAATGATAACTGTGACGTTAACCAACCAACCAGTAAATAAACACCGATCCACTTTGTGTCATACAATGCACAGGTAACTGATACATATCGTAGTCTGTTTGTTTCTAGTGGGAAGCCATCCGTTCACATCAAGGAAGAAGATGAACCACAAAAGGTATGTCCGCATGATTGAACTATCTCTCACGTTGGCACGATTTCCACTCGTTGCGTCCCTTAGTCGTTCAAGGAAAAGCTGCTTGTGGGGTTTTAATCTGAGATCCGAACAAAACCATTGAAATATGTATTCATAGTTCTCGTTACCGCTGAATAAGGATATGAGAATATACAGGTCACGAACTTTCGCGAACTTTGGCCGACCAATGAAACGACCAATAAGAAGTCGACATCAGCCAAAATCAGCCAATCAGAAAGCAATTTTCTCTAACTTAAATATTTGTACATTGAATATAGGCATTTATATATTTTTTTCTTGCATTACTTTTCAGTTGTTTGACCGCCGGTATCTCATGTGTCCTGCCGCTGTCACCGTATCACATCTAAAGAAATTCATCCGCATGAAGTATTCCCTTTCTGAGATGATTCAGGTATAGTAGCTGTAGTACGTCTTTCTCTCTTTGTCTGATGCTTCAGGTATAGTAGCTGTAGAACGTCTCTGTCTCTTTCTTTGTCCTGATGCTCAGGTGAAGTAGCTGTAGATAGTATAGTAGCTGTAGAACGTCTCTCTCTCTTTGTCTGATGCTTCAGGTATGTAGTGATGCTGTAGAACGTCTCTCTTTCTTTGTCTGATGCTTCAGGTATAGTAGCTGTAGAACGTCTCTCTTTCTTTGTCTGATGCTTCAGGTATAGTAGCTGTAGAACGTCTCTCTTTCTTTTGTCTGATGCTTCAGGTATAGTAGCTGTAGAACGTCTCTTTTCTTTGTCTGATGCTTCAGGTATAGTAGCTGTAGAACGTCTCTCTCTCTTTCTTTGTCTGATGCTTCAGGTATAGTAGCTGTAGAACGTCTCTCTCTCTTTCTTTGCTTCAGGTAGCTGTAGATGCTTCAGGTATAGTAGCTGTAGAACGTCTCTCTCTCTTTCTTTGTCTGATGCTTCAGGTATAGTAGCTGTAGAACGTCTCTCTCTTTCTTTGTCTGATGCTTTGTCTGATGCTTCAGGTATAGTAGCTGTAGAACGTCTCTCTCTCTTTCTTTGTCTGATGCTTCAGGTATAGTAGCTGTAGAACGTCTCTCTCTCTTTTTTTGTCTGATGCTTCAGGTATAGTAGCTGTAGAACGTCTCTCTCTCTTTGTCTGATGCTTCAGGTATAGATGCTTCAGGTATAGTAGCTGTAGAACGTCTCTCTCTATCTTTGTCTGATGCTTCAGGTATAGTAGCTGTAGAACGTCTCTCTCTTTTCTTTGTCTGATGCTTCAGGTATAGTAGCTGTATGCTTCAGGTATAGTAGCTGTAGAACGTCTCTCTCTCTTTCTTTGTCTGATGCGTTCTATAGTTGCTGTAGAACGTTTGTGGAAGGACATGTATTGGTGAGACACTATACAAGATAAGTCGTGAGGTGTAACTCTCTGCCGTTATACGTTATTAACTGATTGCAATGTTTGTCAGAATATGACAGGTGGGATGATTTATGGTTACCTTAAATGAGAAGAAGGGGGTGGGGAGGGGAAGGGGAGGGTGCAGAGATGCAGTGTACGCTTGATGCACAATAATGTGGGGTGGCCTAGTGGTTAAAGCGTTCGCTCGTCACGCCGAAGGCCCGGACTCGATTCCCCACATGGGTACAATGTGTGAAGCCCATTTCTGGTGTCCCCTGCCGTGATGTTGCTGGAATATTGCTAAAAGCGGCGTAAAACTATATTCACTCATTCACTCACTCTTATTTCATACGAGGAAGTTGTTGGTTTCAGTTGTACATGTTTACCTTGACACGGTGTACATGTTGCTGTGACATTGACATGATGCTCATTTCTGATTGACGTAGATAGCCCCAGTCGTTATTTGGTGAATCTGCTCTTTTCATGGCAGTTTAGGTATGGCAGGTGGTATCATTTGATTGTAGGAGTTTATTGGTTTCGGTGGCTCACGTTAACCTTTGTGTACATTCATTGTGACATTGACATGTTGTACATTTCAGATTGACCTAATTCACACCGACTCCCCTCTTCGTGACACGTGGTCTCTCATGGATGTGGCCTACATCTACTCATGGCGGAGGGTGAGCGTGATAGTTACCCTGCTTTAGGGCACACAGTATTGTATTTGGAGCCCTGTATGAGGATATTGAACATGACCTATTGAAAATTTTAGAAACTGAATCACAATTTAGATCCGGTTTCATTGGATTCGGTGAAGCAAAATTTACATTTTTGTCTTAAGTGAATTGTCAGATTTTGTGATTCTTCGTTGAATCGGACTTTAACCCTTTCTTTAACAAATGTCCAGATCAAATGTCATTGCGGACAGTAATAACCCTTGGTTCTGCATTAACGGGTGCCCAGTGTATTGAGAATTTCAAATGAATTATTAGTGATGTGTACTTGTGCTATTGATATGGAAAATACTGATTTCACGAAGCATATTTTTCTTGCCTTTTACAGCAAGGAATCCTGAAACTGTTTTACTCTTTCTACAAGTTTCTTCCCAAAAAGCGGAAATTACCGGAACTGAGCGAAGGTTCCCGACCTACCGATGAGCCAGAAGTCCCTGCTAAGAAACACAAAGATTCACCAGACTGCCAATCGTCGACAAAGCCAAATAATGTTGATGTTCCTTCAAAACCAAATAAACCCGACACATTTCAAAACGGAGAGACCGAAAAACCGACGGAAACAACCGAGCCGGTCTCCGGTTGTCTGAAAACGGATGAAACGTGTCACTCGTCTGCATGCTCAAAGACTGATGACGACACTGCCGAAGCGGAAAAGGAAATAGATGTCATAAACTCAAACGAGGCTGAGAAAACGGCTTCCTGTTCCGAATGGCGCGAGGCTGCTGCGCACGAAGCAGGTGTTTGTGAAAAGGAGGCTGATTCCGCCATTGATTATTCAGTCTCCGAAGGGGATACCCCCGAGAAAGACGATAAAGACTTCTCTCCTGTCCAAACACCCACGGAAAATAATGGATTCGCCCGGTCGAGTCAGTGTAGCGACTCTCCAACGGAGTACGAGAGTTCACCGGGAACCGAGAGCAGACGACCGAGCGAATCGGATCACGTGACGCCCATCAAATGGCACGGACCGAATGATTTGATAATGAATGGGCACTTCAAGGTTCCGAGTGATCATTTTCCTGGCGATATGAAATCAGATACCTACGTGATGCCGCTGGATTACTCTCAACCCTCCTAATTTGTTTCCAAGGAGATGCTGTTACCGAATTCAGAAAGTTGTGACACCCATTGGATATATCGCAGCTATATGGAATCTATATCATGGAAATATACATAGTGTGCTGTCAATATTTCAAAATGACGTCCAGTGTTCATGTATAGCATTCATATGACGTCATAGAGTTCATTAAGGATGACGTCACGTTTCATTGAATGACGTCACGACGTGTGACTCAAGACGAGTGTGTTCTGTTGGGATTATTTCATCCTGGCATTTGTTCATATTGGAGGTATTCGTTTCCCATGCCATACATGTTCTGGAGATGTGATGTTGATTTCATGTCAATTTCATTTTTCAACCAGCCCCAAACCCCTCAACCCTTCAGCCCGGAGTTCATTTCAATACCATAATTCATGGAATACAAAACTGAAAAAACAACTGACCTATGTATGAACTCTTTCTCCCAATTAAATGAGTGATACACAGTGTTCAAATATTCATAAAATGTGACGTCATGTATTGTTTGTAATTGTGACGTTCATCTTGATGACATCACAGTTTGACGTCATCCTACTGTTTCATCGTCACGGATACCTATATATTTGGATATATACCCCTGTCTTGTTCAATTGGTGGATAATGCTGTGTTTATTTGGATTTACCTGTTCTTGCGTCATCGGATTTACTCCTCACTGGATTAACATGACGTCATATTGACTGTGACGTCATACAGACTACTTGGTTTCTATGGGAACCGTTACTATTAGTATTTTGTGCATTATAGGGCATGAAAACACTAAAGATTTTGGGTTCTGTGACCCACAGGGCACATTCGCATAAACACTCATCGGTAACTTAAAAATATATGTCCAAATACAAGGGTTTGCAAATCATGAATAGAATTCCATAACGTCATCACGTCGATATATGGCTGAATCAACGACGTTAAACACCGTACTCTCCCGCCATATGGGCCACTTCAGTACACTCTGGGTTCGAATCCAGACCCATCCCGACTATGTTTGACAGCACCATAGAAGTGCTCGTTGGTTTCTCAATGAGATAAATGTCTAACTTCGGGTTTTCCTCCCAGCTAGGAACGGTGGGGTAGCCTGGTGGTTAAAGCGTTCGCTCGTCACGCCGAAGACGGGGGTTCGATTCCCCAAGTGGGTACAATGTGTGAAGCCCATTTCTGGTGTCCCCGCCCTGATATTGCTGGAATATTGCTAAAAGTGGCATAAAACAAAACTCACTCACTCCCAACTTCACTAACTGTGATAGTGCATGGACACTGTTAAACTCAACTCTGTCATCCCGAGCGCTCATCTACAGATACAAAATGATTTAAAAGTAAACAAAATTAGAAAAAAAAAATCGAGTTTTTAAAACACGTTAATTTAAACTCTGGAGCAGGTTAGTGTACACATGGCTGCCAGATGGGGATGGCTAATACAATATTTTTCTAACATATAACCACAGAAAAAACGAATTTTGCATCAGAAATCTGTGTAACAAATGCGGGCCAGGTTTTCTAAATGTGTGTTTCTATTTCTGATGTGATTATTTCGGAAACGGGATTTGCGTATATACAAACTCTCACGTCATATAGTACAGTTGTCCAGTACATGACTACCACCTTTAGGGAGAGTTGAGTTTCTTCAGATTCTTGTCATGATATTTTGTTTATAGGAACATTAAACAGTAGTTGTCGGTGGTTTTAAAATAAAAAAATGCGCACACATTTGCATTTGCAAACCCTTGTCGATGAACATACTTCGTTGTACAATCAGGTGTCGTTTACGGTTACATGACTACGAAGCAGCTGTATATTTTGTCGTCAAATGTTTTTCTTAAAATTCTTAAAAACACTTGATGTTTATAAAAGGTAAACTGAAAGTTATATTAAAGGAACTCACCTAACAGTAATACATCACCATTCACCACAATAGTGAAACCCTGATAAACCGTACGATACACATTTGGACCAGATAGATATAGAATGACAGAGTCGTATTTAATTCGTTTTCACAAAATGGTACAAATCTGGATAAACGGGGTTCAGTTTATCGAACTTTCATTCGTGTTTTTCAACCCTCAGACTATTAATTATTTTCAATAAGTCAAATAGATCTATGAAATAATCACTGGAGATCAAGTATATTCATTCTGAATATGCTAAATACAGTCATGTAACCGTTACTGACATTTCTGAAATGACCCCTTATAAGGGCATACGTAGCTTTAGAGGGAGGCTACAAAACCAAAACGGACACCCTTATATGGCGTAAACTACGTTAGGTCTGTAGATATTGGTGAACAATTGGTGTACTTGTGTAAGATGTACGGTAGGTTTAGTTTGTAGGTTGCTATGGTTACTTACCGTCAATATTGGTGACATGACCCTGTAGCTATGCTTTGTGTGGTACACGTAATATGCACAGAATTTAAAATGTACTAAGTAATATTCATTATGAATATGAAATTTGAAAAAAAAAATCAGAATATTTCTGAATTAAGTTATTATTTGAATGTTTCATTTACAGTAAAGGGTGACATTTAAATTGAATTGATGTTCAGATGATATTAGCAAACGAAAAGTTCTTTTTTCAATATTCTTTGGTAATATATTCAAGTTTTATGAAAAGTAGTATTTTAAAACAAACAAAGAAATATTCTTTATAATTGTATTTAAGTTTTATTACACTTGAGAATGATGTGATGACAAATGTGATAACACATATGATGAACGTTTCTTCATCACCGTGCATGTTGTTCTTACATGAAGGGGCTCTCCGTTTTGGTTCTGTAGTCATAGGGGCAACCATTTCATATTTTGGGGGCTGTGTTGTTTTAAAAACAATAGCTCCCCGCCTCCAGAATATCAAATGGAATATCCCTTGTGTTTGTTATATGCTTTACACCCTCACCATGGCACAAAAAACTTTATTGGTTACAACATCATATGTTCTGCAATACTGTCAATCAAAGTAGAAATTGACACGTTTTAGTTTGGTATTGTTGGTTTTGGAATGGTGAAATATGCAGCGAAGTGAAATGTACATGAAATAGACACGTCAAACATGGGGTGATACTGAATCTTGCTTGACATGTACACCGTGAAATTTACGGCGTCGTACTCTTGACATACGAGGGTTCTGGCGTTAGTAAGTATTTTGTGACAAACATAAAGTAATTTTTAAATACCAGTTTGTTTATATAGAGGCATAAACGTCATTTGATGACGGTGTTATTGAGTTATTGGAACAGGTGTGTAGTAAAGATGTTATATATTACGAACTGATCTTTGAAATAAACAAGCACGATTTATACAGTCACGCAGATCGTAGCAGACCAACAACTCAGTTAAATGTTTCCTTGAAATAGGATCTTTTGCAACAAACTTGATATACACAGATGCATTATTTACAGTGTATTCGTTCTACAGAAGGAGCTAACTCGCAAGGATTTTCAAACTAGCAATATTTTACTATCGCCATTTACGCTGAAATCGATAAGGGTTCTGATGGATAGGACTTTGCTTGGGGTTGGTCTGGCAGCTGACCAGTTGGAAAACAACATGCATGAACACCCGTGGTCAGTTGTAGAGATTGTCATTATTGTCTTGCTGATACAGAGTATTTCCGACATGCTGCTCTCACTGTTGTCATGGAGGATGGGGAAATTGCACAGCAATACCAAATTGATTTATTATATATTAATCAAGTCTCGAATTTTGTTCGTTGGATATAACAGAAATTCTCGGCAATCGGTTGCTACTTGCAGTTAACCCTCTTTAATTCTACCTAAAATATATAAATATAATGTAAATATATCGTTTAAGATGAAATAGGTTTAATGTAAAAAGACATGTCTGATTAGACCCATTCCACAATTGAGTTGTAGGTCTGTGTTTGTTTCGGTGGCAATTGCAGAATTTAATTAGACACTTGCTTTCAAGTGTTAGGTTTCGACTTATTGAAGATAATGACTGAATTTATCTACACAAAGAATTTTAATGCTAGTGGATGAAATCCCCTTATGATTGTTTGGGGGTAAACTAAGTTTAATGCAGCCATTTCGAAGTACGGTAGTCTCGATGCACCTTTATCTAAGGTACCCAGAACTTCGAGGTAAAGAGTCAACCTTGACATAGGACACCACTACAATGAATCCCAACCAACAAGACATGTATAGGGACGCACGAGTCACACCGGAAAGGGTTTGTGCACTTGATGTATACAAAGCAACAGCTTTATTCAGTATGTTAGTCAGAATACGATTTTAACTTTTTTGTAATGAAAGACAAAACTGAAAAAACCGAAGCTGTAAAACCACCCAGTATATAAACCGGATATTTACCAACCTCAACATATTTCATTCCAAAACCAACATTCCCACCTTTCATTTCCCATAATATTTCCATTTTCTGAGTTTTATATATAGTGCTTAGATATAGGATAACATATGATCACGTGACCGGATATGACGTCAATGAAATCAGCATCATGTTTGTATATCTCCTCCTGTTATTCTGTTCTCGTCTTATATAGTTTGTTTTTCAGTAGTAGATGGAAGTTGACCGAGGTGAAGAGGGTATACGTGCAACATACTAAACAAGGCCTAGTCATTCCCGCGGGAATGTATAAAATTGACAACAGTAGTAATGTTCCTTGTCGAAAGATCCTGCGTGGTTAAGTTCTATAAAAAGACAAACATGATATGAATACCAGAAGTAACAGGACAGTTGTCCAAGTGCCAGATAATTGTACATAATCGCTTGATATCGATTCCCACTACATGGCCTTGGCCTATCGCTATCCTTCGTCGCGACCGGCACAACTTCGGGATTCTCTCCCCCAGGAAACAGGCACGTCGTGATATTACGCAAATCATTATAAAGTCAAACTGATTTAATGCAGTTATTATATTATTTTGAGATATAACCGTTTACAAATTGCATTCATCTCACAGGTACTGTGTTTGGTAGGAAAAGGGTGTTAGTGTGTACGGGGTTTTGTGAGGACACCAAGTATTACAGGGATAGATAAGTGTTGGATTGTCCTTTGGCGAATAATTTTATGAATTCCAACCGCAGTATCAAGCTGAAAGCAATTGGATGAGAACCTGATATGATATTTCTGCTTGGTTGTGCGGAACAATATGTACACTTGTACAGTCATTGTTATGACAATCAACAGGCGGATTGAGGGAATGAAATTTATTTGCGTATATGGTTGTCCAAAATGCTCTGCTTTAGACGTTTGATTTCGGCTGGTGAGTTTGAATGTTTCGGGTTTTTAATCAAAATATGTCCAAGTAAGATGTCTTGAGTATCCTCCGAAACAGATTCTGCTGACAGAAAGGCGACATATCTGTGAACATTATGTGAACTAATCACTGAAGTAAACTAATGAAAACCTGTTTCCGTTGATAATATGAATAGTTTCACAATGAAGCTTCCCCAAAGCTAGCATCGCCAACAAAACATACCCTTGAATTCGTTTTAGAAAGCAGTGATAGGTCAACATGTGACATCCGAAGTTCATAGAACATACTGGAAAACTCATTTTTACCCAAATTACAGTACCATTTTGATTAATCGATGCAACCAGCGATGAGGAAACAAACCAATACAATTCCAATTAACCGGGGTTAAAGTGACCACATTCTATAATTCGTTTAAACCGAAGTTAATGTCATCGTATTACATCATTCGTTTAAACCAATGAAGACGTCATCACAACACATTCGTTTAAACCGAAGTTAATGTCATCGTATTACATCATTCGTTTACACCAATGAAGACGTCATCTCAACACATTTGTTTAAACCGAAGTTAATGTCATCGTATTACATCATTCGTTTAAACCAATGAAGACGTCATCTCAACACATTTGTTTAAACCGAAGTTAATGTCATCGTATTACATCATTCGTTTGAACAGAAGTTAAGGTCGTCATATTAAGCCCATCTCTGTTGTCCCATGCCGTGATATTACTATATTATTGTATTCACTCGTTCGTTTCAACCCGAGATAAAGTGACTATCCTAATACCGATTGCATGTATTTATCACAATGATCACCATGATATGTGCCACGATCGCCACGATCGTCAGTGTGTGGCACCTACAGGCTGTGTTTAGTATGTTGCACGTATGTTGCTTGACTTCATATGACCTAAAACCTAAGAATAACGTTTCCATTTCAAGAGCTTTAAGATGTATTGAAATGCTTGAAAGACCTTTCCCTTGTGTTCTCATGTTCTAGGAACTCGTTCTACGAACTTGTCCCGTGACGTGACCATTCCTACTTGCCAACAACCTAAACAAACATCTGCAACTCAAACAAAAGGCAGATCATTTCATAATATACTACTCCAAATTCGTGATATGGGTAATCCGCCACATTTCAGATTGATTATACTGATATTTACTAATCGGATATCTTTAACTATTTGTAGTAGAATAAGATC